CCCGGACGTTCAAGTCCCTATCTCGCAGACACGTCCGTTAGATAGTGGTTACGCAATATGGAAGCTATGTTGAGCCCCGTTAGGGGAACCTGTTCAGCCAAATGTCCAGATAATGCAGATGATGCAAAGCAGAAACTTGCATTTCTTGCATCCCTAAAGCCTTCAAGATACCCAACATTAGCGCGAAAGCACTTTAAGCCGGTTCCAAAAAAGTGAAAAACACAGGATTCTAGAGCAAAAATGCACCCCCCCCCTAGCTAAAGCTATAGTATACTGACGATACTAACGGATGCTCGCGTGCCCTATAAAACGCCTCAGCACCTTCGGCGCGGGCGGATTTATGTATATATGATATATGCCCTTCTAACTACGATGGCGTTTGTGCACCTCAAGCTCTAGTGGATGGTTAGTTGGGGGTCTTTAGTTGAGGGTGCTGCTGCCTTCGCTTCATTCTCAGGCTCTCTTTCTTGTCCATTGCACTGCCACCCCTCTGTGCTGGTCACTTTCTTCTCAGGCCTTTCCGTTGGCCTTCTCCTTGACCTTTTCTTCGGATTGGCCTCGCCAGCCCCTTCGGCGTGGGAAAAGGAGTGAGTGCGGAAGCAGAGTTGTTATATATATATATATCCGTTAATGAAAGCACGCGTACGCATATCTGTAGCTGTGATTAGACGTGCAAAGTGGGACGGACCGTGGCTGAGCACACAAGGAGAAAGGAAAGAAGAAGGCATTTTTTTGCTATGGTCTGGGTTCGCGGAGCTCCTGGATCAAACAAAGTACTTGCTTGGAGGATGGCAAGAAAAAGGAGAAGAAAAAGAAGGTCCACGCTTCCTCAAGAGCTGGTTTGTTATCCAACCATCTATCCTAATCACTTTTCAGTGCTCTAGGGAAAGAAACGCAAGCGCTCCGCGCTCAGAATCTATATAAATTGAAAATGGGCGGTTTTTGCTCACGCCACATTGTTCTTCCACCTTTCTATATGAGGCTCTTCAACATCGTCATCGAAAACGTGACAATGCTTGAGCTTCTACGCTGGCAAACGGCCAGACATCCTGATCGGAGCGTTTTGCAAATGGATGGTCCTTTGCACTCTTCATGCCTCCTTGATTGTTTGCGCTGTACGTAACAGGGTTTGCTTGTCCAAGAGAAAGTTGATGGCTTTGCACAAAATGCACAAGCTCTACTTTGGCTCAGTCAAAAAAAGTGTTACTCCTAACGAGCAAGGGCGTGCAAGTATATACGGTTTTCCGGAGTTCAGAACTGAGGGTTTCGTAGATGGAAAGCATAGCCCAGCCAGTATATTCGGTAAGACATACGCTGGGAACAGAAGCCTGAAGGAGATGTCGATCAAAAAAGTTGGGGAGGTTGATCAGGTCGAGCCCTAGATTTAAAATAATGTATTTCCACCGCAGTTCTTCACACTTTGCCTTCAGCCCAAGCGCAATGCGTGCATTGGTCGCTTTCAAGTCTCTATCTCAGGTGTCTTTGAAGTGGGATTAGAATTATCAACAACCTTGAGTGTTGGCCACTGAGACCGGCTGGGAAACTCGAGGTGCAAGACCCTGGCAGTGTCCATCGTATTTTCTTTGGGATTTTCAGAGTCTTGGCTGTGTGTACACATTCGAATGCAGTATTTAGCTGTACTTGGATGTTAGTCCTAACGTAGACTTCTGTGTGTCCGCCGCACAGCTGGGGCACAAGGGTCTCACCTTTTGGAAGGTGGGGCGGCGCTGCCACATGCGCATTTTGATTTTTTCGTTGCTGGCGCACGGCCATGGTTGGTGGGGCAACTCCTCCAGGGTGGAGGAGGGTCCGGCCTTAGGTCCTTGGCGTGCCTGGCTTCACGAGGCCTTCCCGGTGGCGGCGGACCGCTTGACGCAGGCGGAGCAAGGGGCAGAGACTGTCCGGCAGTACTTCGAGGAGACGGAGTACTCGCCTTGGAGCCACGGCATCTGGTGGGCCATAGACGCACTGGTCAGCCCATTAGGCTGGGCCATCTTCGGCGCTGCCTGCGGCAGGTTGGTTCAGCTGGGAGGGATCTTGTTTCTATGCCTGGCTGCCCACTACATGTGGGCAGTCTGTTATCCTGTGGTCACCGTCTTCGTTGGCCTCCTCATGGCGGTCCTATGGCTGCTACGCCGTGTCTTGAGGACCTTTGGCACCATCACCTTCTACGTCCAGCAGTGGGTAGGAGGCGCCCCTGAGGTCGATGACGTGGAGATGTGGGGCCCTGCTACTGGCTCCCCACCGGAGACCAGCCATTTGAGACAGTTCAAGCCGCCAGGGTCTGGTGAACGTTGGGTAGCTGTTCGGAAGGGGGGGGCTCAGGGCGGTGTTCCGCCTGGGCTCGGAGGGTCAAACGATTCGCTCCCACGGCCTCTACGTGCAGGTGGACCCCGATGGAATCCGAGGCGACCCTTCGCTGGTGAGTGAACTTCGACGCACCGATCGACTCCACTTGTGTCGCCACCTGGCTTGTCCCGAAGAAGGAGGCACCCATGTCCAGGAATATGGAGTGGTAAAGGCTTTCAACCCTGAGCGCTTTCAGTATGTGCTCGTGCCACAAGTGCTCAGATATGGTCTTGGATTCGAGGCTCTGGAGCGGAGGTTCAACGGCTGGCCCAACGTGCTCGCGAGTATGCTTCGGAGTCCGAGGCTGAGGAGGACAAGGTGAACTGTCTTGCAGGCCTCATTAGTTGGGAGACCGCTGAGGGTGCAGAGCAGCTGGGTCATGGCCAGGAGCTGGGCTGAGTTCAAGATGCTTCTCAGGGAGGACTACCCGAAGGGCATTACCAAGGTGGGCCTTTGCGCAATGCACACAGCCAAGTACCTCCAGTACAGGTTCCTTCAAAGGTGCAGCTTCGTGGGTTGCGAGCGGGTGGGCACTGCTTGTGAAAAGGGTGTGCAACTGTGCTTAGACCATGCTCGTCCAAAGGGTCGAATCAAAAAGACACCAAAAGAGGGGGAAGTGGCTACTTCGGCGAGCTCACGGCGAACACGTTCTCGGTCGAGGAGCCGGAGGACCAGATCGAGAACGAGGAGGAGGCAGAGCATTATGAACCGGGCCGGAGGCTGAGGTCACGCCGGTGCGTCGGACTACACGCCAACCATCTCGTTCTCCCGGCCACACGCCCAAGTCATCCATCCATCGTAACCTGGCAAGGATTGGGACGCTCAACTCACCGGGTGGGGAGGAAGAGCCAACCGCGCTTCAGGACTTCGTGGAGAAGCTCGCCGACGGCAAGAGTATGGGCATGAACGAGAAGCAGGTCCGGGACTACCTCGCCAACAAGCACGTCATGACCACGGAGGACATGCTGCGGAGGTTGATTTCGGAGGCGGAGGTCGAGCAGGCCAGAGGACAGCGGGGACTCACCAAGTTCTTGGTCCGTTGGCGAGATGAGCTACGGGCGTGTGAACGGCTTCACAGTCGGGGGGAGTCGGATTGGAGCGTCATCTCGAGGCAACCTACCCCCGGAACCAGTCCTGAGACTTTGAGTTCAAGCGTGATGGAGAGACCGCCAGGTTTGACGGAGGCACCGCCAAAAGTTGAAGCACAACCAGGTGTGGGCTTGAAGATTGCGGCCCCGTCCGTCTACAGGAGCGACCGGAAGGCGGGAGCCGGGGAGGCCGAGAGGGTCGAGCCCATGGCAAAGATTGCCCAAGCCATCCAGCGCCAGACTACGAAGCTCGCAACGCTGGTTCGCAACCAGGCCGACACCACATCACACCCCAGCGGCAGTCTCAAAGGTTTGGGACGGGCGGCGGAGGAGGTCGTGTACGTGTTGAGGGCGTGTGGACAATATCAGGTAGGCCTGGGAGCAGGTGAACATGGGCAAGCTTTGGCTAACGCACTGTTAGCAGCTCAAGTGGGGGCTTCTTCAAAGCTCCGAGCTTCCGGTTTCCGCCAAAAGATGACACAACGCCTAGCAGTAGGCCTGGCGGGTGGCTTCTGGGGCACGCGTGAACGACATTGCTTGGGCGCGGCGGAGTTCATCACCTACACCGATGCCGAGCTCGATGCCTTCAGCAGTGAGGCCAGAAATAGCAAAGGGGGAGGCGATCAACGACCAGCTCAGCCCCAACGGCTTGATGAGTGGTTGGTGAGGGTCAAACGACAGACGGATGTCTGGTGCCTGATCTATGGGGCCGAGTGGAGGCAGGTTCGCACCAATGGAGCGGTTGGCGGAGTGGCACCTTGCAGCGCCACATAAGTGGCCTCTCACTGTCATCATGGACATTTGGGAAGAACTCCACTGGAGGCTCATTGAGGAGGTGAAGGAGATCGTCCGCCTCCTCAAGAAGGACACCAATCGGGAAACCCTCACCCTGGCAGAGATCAAGTTCTATGCCCTTCTTCCAGGACCTGACGGGGAAGCGTGGCTGAAGATGCCCACCAGCTTCGACATCGAGCTCCCGGGGGGTTGGTTTCAGGAGGAGGTGATCCCTCGTATTGAGCGGAAAACAAGAGAGGTTGCTTTGGAACCTTACTTGGCGAGGGGGAAGCGGCAAGAAGCTTCAGCCGCAGTCGGCCGGGGGAGGAGTTGCTTCTGACACTCCAATAGCGACCGGAGGGGGAGGCTCTAGTGCTGGGGGGGACAAAGACAAGCCGTCTCTCAAAGCACTATGGGGGCCAAAACTCACTGCGGAGGAGGTGACGCGTGCCAAGGAGAGAGCTCTCCTGGACCGCAATGGGACTTTGCTTTGTTGGGGCAACCTCTGCCGCATTGGGTGCGACACCACGGGCTGCCAGCGATCCCACGGCTCCCTCAAAGGACCCTTTGAAGCCCTAGACCCAGCAGTTCAGATGCAGCTTCTTCGGCGGGGAGGACTCAAGAGGATGAAGGCGGAGACCAAGGACACCGTGACCCAGAAGATCAAGGACCTGCGTGCCTTTGTCGCCACGGAGAAGGCCGAGAAGATTGGGGATGTCAAGAAGAACAAAGGCGGAAGAGCTGGGGCAGAGACCGCGGAGCCGCAGGATCAAGGTGAGAGCGGGAAGGCCGGAGGACACCAGGAAGCTCGGGACCCTCCGCGCAAGGTCCAGTTTTGGGAGGCGCCGGAGGAGTTCAGGGTTGACTACACGGAGGCCGAGGACGTCAAGGAGTTCGTCGTGGGACCTGACACCACTTGGGCCGATGACGTCTTCAAGCCCGACTACACCCGCCAAGGCGCACTGAGGAGCAGGGCAACACGCTCTCCAGGTTCTCAGCACACTACTTTGAGACGATGCTGGACGAAGGGGGCTTTCTGGCGGCTGAATCTTCTGCACCAAGTGGGCGCTACCCCAAGCAATGGAATCTTCCGGAGTGGGAAAGGGTGCTGGCACGCCCAGATGTCGAGTGGGTCGACCTCCCGATGTGCGCCTTTGGCCTAGGACCACCGGACGAGCCTGATGCCTTCTATGTTCACAAGACTCGGGTCGTCTTTCCTAAGCACCCGCCGCTTCGTCATGCTCTTCAACGTCGGTGTTTCGGGGTTGGACCGCGCCATCGCCACGTTCCTCTCAAGGGATGCCGGGAAGGGACTACGGTGACTCGGTGCACGGAGGCGGGGGCCTATGCCGCGGACTTCGTCTCCACGGTGGTCGCGGTGCTTCAGGCTACGCTATTCGTGGGGGGGGTCTTGGTTTTCCACCACAAGTTCGCCTGGCCCTTGTCATGCAGGAGGAGACCAAGGACTCCTGACAGCTTGATTCCGACCCTGGTGAAGCAGCTAAAGCAGGGGGGCTCCCAACGATCGCTGGAGCAGAGTGGAGAGGAACACCATGGCAGCTACTACCACAGTCCCAATCCAGAGGCCAAGGAAGCAGCAAGGAAACTATGTCAACCAGATCCAGGAGGGTGGCTTTGGTGGGACGCGAGAGGACTGGGTGAAGGTCGTCCAACTCGGCAACGATTTGTTGAGCAAAGCGCAAGGAGTAGAGGGTGCAGCCTGCAGTCTTTGGGAGGTCCGGGAGGAGGCGGGCCAGGGGTTGGATAGCCGGGAACTTGACGGAAGACTTCATCCAGACTTGCTGGACTACGCTCGAGATGTTCGACGACGGGGCATGGCTGCGCGCTATGTTGGCCCACGGCATCGAGTCCCTTCTCGTCTCCACCCTAATGCCCGACGGAATGTGGCTCAGGTGTTCAAGCAGATTGGGAAGGATGTGGCCAAGCACCGGGTGCTGGTTGTGAGCTCGGACCACGATTGCTTAAAGAGTGCCATCTCTTCACCGTTCGAGGCCGTGGACAAAATGTGCCCTGACCATTCCATTAGTGAAGAGAAGAGAATTGTCCACGATCAGCGGGGAGTGAACCAAGGCACCACCAAGTTCTTGCACCCCCCAGCCATCCAGCCGGCGCACGTGCAAATTGCACGAAGGATTCTGTGGCGCAAGATCAGATGCCCAAACCTCCCTGTGGTGATGAGCAAGAAGGACATCGCTGGGGCTTTCAGGTTGTTGTGGGTGGCGCCTGGGGACGTGGAGCTCTTCGGCGGGGACATTCCATGGGAGGGCGACGAGTTGCAGGAGGGTTTGCCGGCGGAGGGCGAGGAGCAGTGTAGCCGGGGCATCACTGTGCTATACCTTGTGTCTTCCTTCGGCTTCTCAGGGTCACCCGGAGAATGGACCATCTTTGGCCGAGCCACCGAGGAGTACCATCGGGCCCACAAACCCAGCAATCCCCGTCGAGATCTCGCAATCGGTTTTGATGCAAAGGTGCTTGCATCCTTGTGGAACCCTATGTCGGCTTGCGGCCCTGGGTGAGCGCGGAGGTCTTTGAGCACGGGGTTCGGACCATGTTGTGCCACGCGGCGATCAACGTCGAGAAGGACCGCATCGAGGGCGCGTTCAGGACTTCGCAGACGGTGTGGGGGCTGGTCATGGACACGGAGACGAAAAGGGTCCACCTCCCGGAGAAGCGCATTCAGAAAGGAGCGGACCTTTTGGCTGATGGTGCCTTCGATTACACTCCAGTTGAAGCAGCTACAGAGGTTCAGGGGGATCATGACGGGCTGGGCGTCAGTGCTCAAAGGCCTGAACAATGAGTTGAAGGCCGCCGACAAGTTCCTCGGGGGCATGGACGGAACCGCCAGGGTACAACCTCGTCTACGTGGTGAAGGCAGCCGTGGCTGGGAGACTGAGAATGCCTGGACCGACCTCTGAAAGCTCTTTGAGGTGTGCCGTTGGCTGAGCAGCAACTCGGAGCAGTGGGAGGAGCTCTTCAGTTCTGACCTCAGGACCATGCTTCCTCCTATGGAGCGGGTGGGCTTGCCTGGGGAGTGCCGGGTTGTGGTCATCTCCTCTGATGCGACTCCTTCGAAGCTGGGGGCTATTGACTGGACGCATCGCTTCGTGTTCAGGGAAGACGCAGAGATAGTGAAGGCATGGGTCACCCGGGTCACCGACCAGGAGTTGCTTGGAGGAGAATGGCGAGGGCTTGGTCATCCATGCGGGGGAAATGTTGTCCTTCATTGCGTTCGCATGTGAAGTTGGGGCCCAGTGGGTGGGAGCTGTGGTGCTCTATGCTGGGGACAACGTGATTGTGAAGCACTGGCTCCAGAGCAGGCAGAGTGGAGTGCGAGCGGGACGACTGTTGGTGAGGCTCGCCAATTTGGTTGAGATGAGGCACAATTGCACCATCATCGCGGGCTGGTGGAGGACCTACCGCAACGTCGACTCCGACTTCATCACGCGGTGCACGGACGAGGAGTTCCGGGAGTATGTCGCGGAGAAGCAGCTGAAGGTCGTGGATGTCGGAGAGGCCGTTCGACAAGCCTTGGAGGACTCGGAGCGTTTTGGCCCGTGCTTCCTCTCGTGGGCCTCTGAGGTGGATCGGAAAAGCATGATGCAGCTGAAAGAGAAACGGATGTTCCGACAGCTTCAGAAGGAGGTCCGGATTCCATGGGCGTGCTACGAGGTGGAGGAGTGGCATCATGGGCTGCGCAAGGCGAAGGACTTTGAGCTGGTCAGCCAGGAGCTTGGGGCGCAGCGGTTTCAGGAAGGGAGTCGCCAGTTGCGGCTCTTGTGCGCCAGCATTGGCCCTGACCCACATGGCAAACGTGTGGAAGCCTTCCTCAATGCTGCAAACCGAGCGGAAGCACCGGTCGCCTTAATGAAGGCACGCTGCTTGGGAGAAGGGTGAACGCCGATGCCAACGGGAAGGGTGGCGCTATGGGCTCATCGACTTTGTCACCACCAAGTTTGGCGAGGCTATGGCGAGGAGGCGCAGGGCACTGGTGGTGCAGCTCGTGGGGGAGAAGGTTGACTGGGACATGGCTGTGAGGCACCCGTTCCGGCTGGGACAATGCTTCGAGCGGCAGCTTGGGAGGACACAAGTCGCTGGGTCAAGCCCTATAAGATGGAGCTGCAAGGAGGTCAGCCTCGCGATCCCATGCTTCCCCAAGGAGTCGGACACTATTGGATGCCAACTCGTGTCGTGCTGTTTGGACTGGGTGGCCCCGCGCGGTGGCCGCTGTTTGATGAAGAGAAAGGGGCCATGGAAGATGTCTATGTGTATGATCGCAAAGGCCCCCCTGGCTACCTCAGGAAGCTCACCAACCAGGAGGTGTGGATCCTTCAGGGACATGTGGGTTCGCAAGCAACCAGTGAGGAAGAGAACCGCTTCAGGACATGGACCTTGGAGGGGACGAAGGCGACTGGGGTTAAGACCGCCACCAGCCTGCTGACCGTAGGGGGCTACATCCTCTTCACCATCGACCAGCTGGGGGCCAAGGGGATGTGTCGGGATGTCCAACTACCGAAGCTATGGCCCAACTACTGGTGTCGGTGGAAGCGGGGAGAGCTCCGAAGGGCAGGTGGCCAATCGGTGCGACACATCATTCGCTGGGTTGAGAGCTGGTGGCTCAACATGCTGGACATCGAGTCGGAGGAGGACCTCGAGGCGGAGGAGGGGCTACAGTACGCCGGAGGACGTCCACGCAAAGGAGCCACACAGACCATTGGGGAGGCCAGCGTGGCACCCCTGCTGCGCCAACCTCGTCCCTTTGACGGCCAAGTCGGGTGGAAGAATGGATTGAAGAAAGCATGGAAGGTGCAAAGGCCACAAGCACCGAAAGAGCCTATGCGGGTTCGTGGGAGAAGTGGAAGGCCTGGGTTCGGCGCCATGGATGGGAGTCGGAGTATCTCAGCCGCAAAGGCGACCCGGTGGAGAACGAGAACCGGCTGCTGGGATTCATCGGCTACCTTGGGTGGCTTGGGGCGTCAGCAGCCACGCTCAAGCAGGCCATCTTTGCGGTGAAGGATGGTCACAAGCGTGCAGGAGCAGGTGACCCAACTGAAGGGATGTGCCGCTTGTGGATCTTGGTGCGGGCCATGGACCGTCGGATGGCGCACAAGCCTCGTCGCCTTGGAGTGACGCCTCAAATGCTAGTATGGCGGGTAACCACCTGGTCGACCCCTTGACGCCGGAGTGTCCAGCTTTTGTGGATGCCACCATGATCCAGGCTTCCATGACCACGGCGTGGTTCTATATGCTGCGAGCGAAGGAGTACTGTGACAGCAATGGCGTCGACGAGGACATGGTGCTAAGGGGTGTCGACTTGCGCTTCACCAAGGACGCGATTGGGGTCGAGGACGACACCGCGAATGAGGTCACGATGCAGTTCCGCAAGACCAAGACGGATCAGCTGTGCTTCGGTGAGAGCAAAACTTTGAAGAGCACAGGGGTCCATGTTCTATGCCCAGTGGAAGCACTGCTACGCATGAAGAAGGCTTGGCCCACGCGGTTCATCAAGACCCATGGTGATGCTTTGAAGCCGCTTTTTAGGTGGGCCAATGGCAATGTCTTGAAGAGGACGGAGGTGCAATCGCTCCTACAACAGGCAGCGCGTGGGGTTGGCCTACCACCAGAACGCTTCATGAGCCACAGCTTGCGCATCGGTGGCGCCACGGCCCTCTTTCAGAGCACTGGAGAGATTGAATTGGTGAAGTGCCAGGGCCGGTGGTCGAGCAGTGCCGTCCAGAGGTACTTGCACGACGGAGGTGAACAATTGGCAAGAGTGTCGGTCAAGATGGCCGGTTCCGGGAATGCCACCAACTACGCATGAGTGAGGGCGGGCTGAGGCACAAGATGCCACACCTTCACGGCCATTTTGGCTATGATCAAAAGATCTGAAGGTTCGCTTGTCCAACTTTGAGTGCGCATTGCCGCCGAGATGAAAGTCTGCCGCTGCATGTGCATAGGAAGCACTTAAGTTGGATGTTAGTCCTAACGTAGACTTCTGTGTGTCCGCCGCACAGCTGGGGCACAAGGGTCTCACCTTTTGGAAGCCCACCCCCTGCCTCCCAGGGCGGGCTGAGGCACAAGATGCCACACCTTCACGGCCATATTGGCTATGATCAAAAGATCTGAAGGTTCGCTTGTCCAACTTTGAGTGCGCGTTGCCGCCGAGATGAAAGTCTGCCGCTGCATGTGCATAGGAAGCACTTAAGTGTCAGTTTGACTAGGCCTGCTGAACCCTAGGTTTGTCATACTTTGAGTACAGGCCTCAGCTGGCTTGGGAAAAAGCTTCTGAATTAGACAGATGCTTTCTTATTGCAATGCCGCAAACCCCAGAACTGTAGCTCAGAGCCCCAACAACACCACAATCGCAATAATGTTCATCTCATCAAGTTGTAGTTTATGTCCAGGGTCTACCTATTTGCTTTCAGACGTCTTTGCTTTGTATCATGTGCTGTGTACCATTTGGTGTGTTGCATGTGCGTTCTCGAGCTAGGTTCCCATGATATAGTAAGCTTCTCTATTCTTTTCCTTTTGGCGGCCAACGTCGAAGGCCTGACCGGAGACTCCATCCGACGTCTGAAGCTACAAAGTCTTGGAATTTGACAAGATACTTTCAAATTTCAATAATTAATCTATATAGATGCCAAGGAGAGCGCAGGTACACATTAGATCGCGTCGCAAGGCTCCGAGCGCATTGAGGAAAAGGAGTGCATAATTTTTCATGGTAGCGGAGCTCTGGTGGTAGCCCCGCCAACTCCAAGAGCCCCTTTTTGGTTCACGAAACCCCGGGGAATTGAGGCAGGCCAGCGCGTGGCTGGAGTGACGGATGGGCTGGAGGCACCTGAGCCTGAGGCTCTTGCAAATGCTGCTGGTGCTATGGCAGGTGGAGCTGCCACAGGTGTTCAAGGATTTGTGCAAGCCCTTCACGGAGGTCCAACGGTCGTCTGGGTTAACGAAACACCTCAAGCCACCTACGGTGTTCCAACCAGAGAACCGTGGAGAAGAGCTAGGTCGTTGGATGGATTGGCGGTTTCAGTTCGAAACTTTTGTTGGAGCTGTTGATCCTGGGATGCTCGCCCACGTGAAGAATGCCGAGAAGGAGGAAAACCCCATCATTGATGGTTTGCCCCAGGCGAGGTCCCAGAGTGAACGCCTGTACTCATTGTTGACAGGGTTGATGA